ACCTTAGGATCGTGCTAGTGCGGATCTGCCTCAAAAGGATGTCTCGAAGCACGTTTTCGTGCGGTGGTTCGGGCATACCAGCGATGGTAGCGTCCCAGCGGTTGATGAAACGCTTCAAGTCCGCTACAGTATCGCCTACCTTTACCACATTGAGGAGATCTTCAACCCTGTAAAGGCTACCCGCTTCTTCCGAGGTCTTGAAATAGTCGTCGAACATGAGAAGAATCATCCTACCTCGAACCTGGATGCCTAGCTTTGCCTTCTCTTCTTTGTAATTGATGATTCGGTTTGCTAGATCACCCTTCGCACTTCTGGTCAGCGCAGCTGCCAACTTGGTATCCAACGTTGTGAACTTCCCAGGGTTAGACAACCGCTCTTCCAGAACTTTCCTCTCATCAACAGTGTTGTAAACCTCCATTAACCAGTCCCAGGCTGCATCTGGTTTGTCAGAACATGACTTGATTTCGTCCCTCACATGATGTTTCCACTGCCGATAGGTTTCAGGGGTTGGCATATCATTCAACTTGATGTGATCTGCCTCCTTTACCTTTGGCTTCTCATCTGACTCTCTTTGAGTGAGTGACTTGACCAATTCGATCACCTGCTCAGAGGTGATGGCACCTGATGACGCTGGCTTATGGGGTTCGCGAATTGAAGGTGCAGGGCTATGGAACATATGTGTCGGTGTTTTGCCCCCATCCGCTGCTGTACCTCCGTGAACTGGAAGCACGGGCTTGATAGGAGCAGCTGCCCCTGGTGGGGCATCACCGATGATGGTGGCCGTCGGCGCTTTGGGTGCGAACAGTCCACTCAAACGTGCAGTAGCCTCTGCTGCAATGGTCTCCAGAGGATTTTTCTTCCTAGTGTCATCATGCCTAGGGGTAGACACTGGTGTGTTCATGACACTTGTTGGACGGTACTCTAGCTCGGGTTCAGCATGCACTTTGGCTTTAAGGTCATCGAGCATTTGCTGCAGGCTATAGTTTTCATTTTCTGCGTCGCGTAGCTCACGTCGAAGCTGAGTTTCCCGCTCATCAAACTCTGCACGAAGCGTTGCCACACCTTGCTCGGCACCGCTGGTGATGGCAGTGACAGTTTGCTGACAATCGTGCATGAGCTGGATGCGCAAGGAGTCCAGTTCTGCTTTTCTGGCTTCAGCCTCGATGGACCTTTCACTCTCTAGCTTTAGGATCCGCGCCTTTGCGGCGCTAAGTTCCCCTTGCACTTGGCTGTAGCTAGATTGAGCTTGCTGCCTTACCGAACTGAGTTCCTCATGATGCTTGCTCGCTACTTCATCGATTGCTTGACGAAACTTGGTTTTTACCATTTCCAACCATTGTCCCATTATCTCTTTGTGCCTTCTCTCTGCCTCAGCAATAATAGCATCTTCATTTCCGTTGTACACTTGTTGAATGTTTTGCTGCACAAACTGAAAGTAAGCTGTGACAGGAGCTGAACCCATGGGGTCATCTAGATCCACTGTGGGCTCAGTCATGAGACCGGCTGGGACAGCTACCGACGATGCACCGTTCCCAGGAATAGCAAGAGCGTCCATGGCTGCGGTTAGAGCACTACGGCTGATAACCTATAGAAACAGCCGTTAAGCTGCAACTCCTGTTTTGGGCCGCGAGCTGCGAAGTCAAGGTGACATGACATCCTACTATGTGCAAGGTACAAGGTGTACATATTACATGGAGTGAAAATACACTTCTTCTTGTCCTTCTTCTTTGAACCTGCAACCTTCTCGGGCTCGGCTGGCTTCACGGGCTTCGTGGCTTCCCCTTCTCCGGACAAGCGGCGGGCGTCCCGAGCTCGAAGATCTCTGAGTTCGTCTTCTTCGTTCGGGTCGGCTTTGACCAAGTTGCGAGTCCAAGGCTCCTCTTCGCTCCGCCCCTTCATGAGGCGGCCTTTCAACGCGTGCACGAGGTCGTCCGCCACACGCTCCCCAGTGCACGCCTCTGTGCACCGATGACAACGCACAACTGAATCCGGGTGGCCGGACTGGTGACGAAGAAGAGCTTCTGACGTCGTTCCGGTGGGCTCGAGCAGGAAGTGAACCACCCCATCTTCTATGGTGATTCCCTTGATCGTGCCTGCCACGCTGGCTGGGCCATGAAGTAGGTCATCTCCGTGACAACGATGCTCACGCCCTTTCCAATCTCCTCCAATGGAACCAGCTTCAGGGACGCTTCTTCCCCGGCCAACCAGCGCTCCCGGACCGCAGGAGCGTCCCCTGCTGCGGGTGCTGCTGCAGGACGACGGAGAGGATGTCGAAGCACTCCCACTCTCATAGGGGCAGGCGGTCTTGCCGCAGGCCTGGCCCTGCCCTTCACTTTTGCTTTGGCTTTGGGTGGCATTGTAATCAAAAGCGGCCGAGTCGGCGATCAATGCCTCTCTGCCGATGCTTTGCGCCCTTCGACCCCGTGGGTCGTTTTGGAGGCGTCCTCGACCTGCGTTGGGATGGCCTATGGGCTGAGTATCCTCCTGTGCTGCCCTCGCGATCAGGCGGCGGGTAACTTGGAGATCTGGGCCTCCTAGGCGGAGGTGGTGGTGGTAGCAATCTTGGGAAAACGGTGGCCGCCCAAGACTTGGGTGCGGGCCTGAGCCCTTGGCTTTCTGGCCGGTCTCCTCCCGTTGCTGTCGACTCAGGAGCGACCTCTTCGGGTTCTCTGGATGGCTCTGGACTGGCTGGTGCCTCCCCTGAGTTGGGGTCTGGGGTCCTTTCCTTGACCCTTGACATCGACGATCACGCTTCTTTTCCTTCTTGTCTGAGGTGTTCCTGCGCTTCCTTTTCTTCTTGGGTGCTTCTGGAACCGCTTCCTCTTCCTTTGATCCTGTCTCTGACGCTTGACCTTCTTTTGCACCTTCGTCGTCCTCCTTGATCTCGCCAACCGGGTCCTTGGTCTCCTCGTGCTCCTCCTTGGTGACAACAGGCTCTCGCACAGAAGCCGATGAAGCTTCCGCTGCGCTGTCCTTGTTCCCAATTAGCGCCCAACCACCGGAGCCTCCGGCAAGCCAAGAGGTCCACTAGGGCCAATGCCCCGGGGCTCCACCACGGCAGGAGGGCCTGATTCGGCTCTCTTCCGTTCCAACAGCGGCGCCGCGATCTCAGCCAGGTCAGTGAGGGCACCGATGCAGCAACGCAAAACCTCAACGGCCTTAGCCTCCTGGGACCGGAGGAGGAACCCTCCAGCGAAGAGGTCTCTGATCCTCCTCACTGACCGGCAACCAGGGCAAACCTGCTTGAAGCCAACACTGCGGAAAACAAGGACATGTGAGCAACATCTTAACCTACGGGGGCGCAGATACATATAGTATTCTGTTCACGCTTATGTGATGTCTCCCCCTCTCTCCACCACGGTCAGGCCCAGATCTGCCAGCTAGTGTAGTTTTCCCGTGCTTGGGCAAGGACTGGCAGGCACTCGAGCTCCAGCCTCGAGTTGGCATCATGGGAAACAAGTACCTGACCTTGATGACTGGTCTTGCTGCTGGGCGCTTCACTGATGCAGGGCGCGACAGCCTAGCAGATTCCTTATCTCTCTGCGGCTTGCTCACTCCAAGCAGTTGTAGCGGATCTGACTGCCAGCCAAGAAACCGCTGAAGCTGCAGCATTCTGCAGCGCGCTACTTTGCACAGCAGCTGCCTTGGTCCAAGCGCAGCCTCTGCTTCAGATTCCGGATCAAATGCTCCCTTAGGCTCCCTCCCTCTCTATCTCACCGTATCTCCTCTCCCCCTCTCGCAGTCTCTCTCCCTCTCTCTGCAGTTGTCTTGCTTCCCTCATACCCGCTTGTCCCACGGTTCCGCTCTTCAGGTCTAGTCTTCATACCCTGCGTTACTCTTGCCTCTTGACACGTTTTTCATGGACACGTTCTTGTACCCTCCCTCTGTCTATCTTACGTCTTTATCTTCTTTTCCTTCTTTCGTCCTTCACCTCTTCACTCTTTGTGCGGCCCTCTCTCTCTCTCTCCCTTGCCGTTTATCCCCCCTCTGTCTGCAGGCCCAAAACTTTAAAAAAAGAAAACATGCGCAGGCTAAGGTCCAGCAGCCGATCTTGCTGCTGCCTTCAAGGCAGCCTGTCAACCGCAAGTTGTTTTCTCTGTCTGCCACACATGCCAGCCGTAGTTTCACCGTGTCAGCCATGCTCTGGGCCCTAGGCTTTTCTAGTCATCAAGTGCAAACGAATTCATGCGATGCCAAATATCCGACATTCGCAAGGCCTTCTTCTCCGAAGCCTCGCAGTGCAAACTCCAAATCAATGAGCCTTTTCTATCTTTCCTTAGGATTTCTCTGGCCTGGCGTCCAAGCTTGATGGGCACCGTGGAGGCGCGATCCCTGCCTTGGTAGTCCATCAGTGCGTATACCCTGGCATTGCTGGGAGATAACAACCAAATGCTACAGTAGGACACAGGCGTCTAATGCAGTCTCGGTCGTGTTTCACGACCTCATGTCAGGTTCAAACCCAGACAACTCTGCACCTCTTTGTTGCATTCCCAGTCTTTTTCGCTTCTTGCGGATCTGTGCCAAGTCTAGAGTCTAGCACAAGCAGGGCTGCTTGGCGGGCTTATTGTTGTCACTTCTTGCATATGGCATGCGTGTCTGCTGGGGTTTGTTGGGCATGTCCGATGCTAGGTTCATTGCCCACCGCCAAGTCAAGTTGATTCGTGCCTCAGACAGGAATCACGGCACAAACCGGACAACCCCTTTGGTGGACGTTGCTCTGGGAATCGAACTCCACGCGCGACTCGATCTGACAAGACCTTTGTGCAAACTGCCATGCACATTCACTCGAGTATGCAAACTAAGCAGTAAGGCCGGGTTTCATGGAAACTGTAAACAAATGAAACTCTGCTGAAGCGGACAGCATGCAAGTAGTGCTTTTGGACAAGGCCTGCATCGACGGGTTAAACAATGCTCAGTGCACACAAGAAGCACCTTCTGGACTTGACAACACCAGAAAGCACGTCAATGGGGACAATTGCACGCCGCGTCGCCCTTTTCAACCAGTTTCGATTGCACGCACACTCGTAGGAAGCTGCTTTTGGATGTCCACGAATATGTACCTGAATTACTGAAAGGATGTGCACCATCACTGGTTTTGGAGTGCACATTTCTCATTTCATTTGGAACACCTCGAATTACAGTAAAGAAAAGAATAACCATCGGCAGTGCCAGGTAGCTCTTCTTCGCCACCAGCCGGGTGTGGCCGTCTTTCAGCCTTGACCTCAGCCGCCAGGCCAGAAGAAAGAAGCCAATCGGAGACGTCCACTCGCAAAGACGGGCTCCAAATCCTCGGCAATACCGGACATGGCGCGGGCGTCCCTGTAGAAACTGTAGACTGTGGTGAATTGCTGAGAAACCTTACGTGCTGTTCATGAATTGCCCAGACAAGCTGCACAAAGTGGCGCCCGTCAGCTCTATCTTCCACATCGAACCTCGGCCACCATCACATCCATGAACAGCTGCTGCATCACTGCATGGCTACACGAAGCACAGAAGCACACCATGATCACAGTCCAAGTCTGCCGACGCCCATTGATGGAGACCAAGCTGAAAGTGGCCTGCGACGCCTTCATTTCGAGCATGCCTCAGCAGCACCCAGCCACCAGGCCTCGGGAGAGGGGAGCTTTCGTGAACAGGCAGCTGTGGCATGGCAGCTGTGGCCTCACTCTGAGCATTGCACCGAGCAACCCAGATGAGTTCCAAAATGCCCATGAGTGGGTCGTTGGCATGATCCAAGGAATTCCTGCGGTCAAAAGCTGCAAAAAAGACGGGAAATGATTCAACTTGACTCAAGCCAAGCAGCGTCCTCATATGTACTACATCAAAATGATGTTGCGGGAAGCAGTGGTGTAAAGCTTCCGTTGGACACTGAAGTGGAACCACTGGTGGGTCGTGCTGGAGAATGTCCTTGTTTTTGGAGAGGGCACGTCGCACCAAATAAGAAAGTTGCAAACTGTTCGCACAAATGTTCACCTGAAACTTGACAAGTCGAAGGCCAAGCTTCATAAAGTTGGAGGTAAAATCTGGCCAAGCCGTCGCTTGCTACTACGGTGACGCTGTCACCACAATCTATTCGGCCTGGTGCTAGGGGCCCAGAGCCTGCATTCAGTACCTTGCACATAGACTGTAGAGGTTCTCAGGGTCAAGGCTGAGGCAGCAAAGGATTGCATCAACCGACAAGCTCAGTAAGGGCGAAACCCTTGGCCGCCCGTAGCTCGTAGTGTGACCCCGAGCAGCTGCCAAAAAGGTACAAATGTCACCATAGTGCCAAGTAATGTCACCTGGCAGCTTCAAGGACAGCGCTCTGCAAGAGCGTGACACAGCTTGAAAAAAGAGTGTGACACATGGCCAGACCAGCTTCGTCTGCACCTGATAGCAGCCAGTCCTGGGCACTTCTCCAGGACGAGAAGTCAACTTCGGGGTTCTCGGCGTTGCTGGGATCCAGCAAGGCGTGCCAAAAGCCAACCTCTGAATCAAGCCCTCAGCTCAAATAGCAGGTGGAATGGAGAAACAACATATGTTGTTCCTGGGGCTCCCCCGAAACCCAAGAGAAAACAAATAGTCATGAGTCATTTTATCAACTAAGGTTCCTCGAACCCATCTTATCATCAACCTTGGTCAGTCAAAGGAGTTGAATGCTTTGACGCTTGCAGAAACAAGACTAAGACCGCGTTTTGCAAAAGCTAAAGCACCGACCGTATACAAAAAGGTGTTGAACCCACAGAGAAACCTGCTCAATGTACGGCAGACTGCACCCGCATCGCCAACCGTGGCTCTTGAAGCTGCATCGCATGTGACTGGAAGGAGAAATCTTTGGGAGCGACTCCAGCGGAAATAAAATTCGCCATTTCGGTGAGCATGCAGCCTGGGTGGCCACAACGCACTGCCACAACGCACGCAAAGCTCAACCGCACCGTTGCAGAGCTGCAGCTGAGAAGCGTAGCTGCAGTGAATTCCATCCGATTCCTTAGGCCCAAGTTTCTGCACGGATCTGTGATGGCAAGTGCTGAATGCTGTACAGTAGCTTTGCTGCAGTTTAGGCAGAGTGTCGCAAGGACCTCTTCAATTGTAAAGGGCCAATCAGATTTGTCAAGACAGTGGACGACATGGTCGAGCAACCGCACTGCAGCGTCCATCCTGAAGTGAGTCTGCTTGGACCACCAAATGTTATCATAACGACACGCCCGGCAGGATCGAGAATCTGGACAGATCCACGATCTTCGTCTTATCGTTATGAATATACGGGTTCCGCATCAGGACAAGTCTCAGTAGTCGGATCTCAGAAAGATGGTGCGGGCTAGAGACAGGCTCCACCCCATCTTCAGCAGTGCAAGGCCCGCCTCTTTGATAGTACGTTCCTGATCCGAGGCATACGTCAACCATCTCGAGCCCCCACATTGACCGCACCACAAGCAAAAAAAAAAAAAAACACCAAAATGGAATTCTTGTGTTAACTCTGAGTTGCTGTAGCCTGGTGCCACTCCGGGAAGCACCAACCTCGATCGCAAGTGTTCTAGGCAAGGGTACTGATGACTGCTCAAAACTTGCTGCCGGGGAGCTGCTCTCCGCTAGTCACGCACTTATCTTTCAAATGGCATCCAAAGGGGCCATGCGCAACTGAAGCGCATTCCTTGCCCAGCTATCGGTTCAGCTTGGGCAACAATACAACACCATGCAGCTCAAAAATACGGAAATAGAAAAGGCATGAAAAGGCTGTTGTTGAGTATGTAGTACGTTGTGCTGGAATGTGCCGTAGTGTTGTGCCACAACCTGGAAGTGCTAAAGCAAGAAACCGATGGTGGCTCTAGCGCTGCCTTTTTGTTGCGCAAGCACGCCGTATTTGATTTTTAGCCGGGGGGGTTAGGCCGCTAGTAAAGGTTAGCAGCTAGGGAGTCGGTAGCTAGTAGGGAGAGGTAGTTGGAACGCCGCCCATAGAGGGCCGTGGTGTTTTTGAGGTTTCTGGCCTTGTCATGTATTTTTCCTGTGATAAACATGGGTTCTGGGCAGATGGGGGGTTGGGATGGGATAATAACGTCCGTTGTGGATGCAGTATATGTTCTGAATCATGGTGGCATCCCCGGGAAAGTACTTACATATGGTCTATCATTGTCATTCAATGTTCTAGTTTCCTCCATATTTTGTCATGCATTTGTCTCAGGGGATGTGCGGTTTCTTCATGTTGTTCAATGCTCTCCTGTCTTGCCGTAGGTTTTTTAGCGCGAAGGCCCAAGAAGTCGCGACCATGTGTGTTCTGGTGTTGTTGTTTCGGTTGGTCGGTCTTGTCCTCCTGGTCTTTCTTGCTTACAACCACTGTGGGGGGTGAATGTGTTTTCTATAGATCAATATATAGATGGTTTGACGCGGGATTGCAGTGACCTCTTGGTGTGGTTTGTTCACAACACGGTGCTGGATTCTGATCGTGGTTGGGTCAATTGCGAAGCGGTCTTGGGTACCCGTGTTTCCTTGTTTGAACTCTGGTGTAGCACGTGTTTTCCGACAGTCTTTGATACCTGCGACCCCAGCAGAGTATAACTCAGCTTTGAAAAGATTGCTGAAAGCACATGGAGCCTGAGAGCGTAAGTTTGAAAGGGACTTCGTGCGGTAATAGACCTCCAATAGATGATAGAATACATAACCGTCGAAACATGTAAACAAAACAACAGTTGGGGGCACCTTCTTTTGAATGTTGAAGTCGCAATTCTACTGGAAAATTGTTCGCCAATGTAATTGAGCCATTCAATCTTTAAAAGACTGAATGCATTTTCCCCAATCTAATTCCGTGCATCTAAGACATGAATTGTCATTTCGCACCACGGCCCTCTATAGGCGGTGGACCTAGTTGGTAGCTTAAGTAGCTACTACTTAGGACGCAGGATAGCTCACGCTTGCTCTAAAAAGAACATTGCCCGTTGCCCCACTTCTGGCTAAAACATTGAACTCTTCTCTCCCTGTCCTCGTGTTCCTCGCATAAGCGCAAACAGTCCCCAGCTGGCATTGCCTCCAGGATGTCCTGAATAAAGGGATCAAAGTCGGTTCCTTTGTGCTGCGTCAGAATCATCGGACAAAGAAACCCTTTAAGGCTCATAGGCTCATAGACGAGTCTCTTTCACAGCCCTGCCCTCCGCTTGCACTGGTCTCTCTGTCCAGCGCCATCGGCTAGATACATCTGCCATTTGCCTCAACCCATTTCTTGCAATTCTAGATTCCAGAGAGTTGCTCTTTGTGATGTGTCGCTTCCTTTCAATTGCTGAGTCCTGTTTTGCTCCTCCTCGCTCATTGCACAAATGCAGGCGCCGAGGTACAGTGCAATAGATTGGCTGCACACAGCTGCCACGGCAAGGAGTCCAGCGCCACAAGTGCTTTTCCAGATCTGAAAAGTTGCCTGATGATGAATGGATGAAGAAGCACAAGAAAGAGAGAGAGAGAGAGGTAGAGAAGGAGCGAAAAAAATAGGAAACTTGCCCGAAAAAACTGCCTCATCGACTCGAGAAGTTGCGAAGAATGCTGAATACGTAGCTGAGCACAGCTCATGCACCCACGGCCTCACACCAAGGATAAGTTTACTCTTTTGCCCTCGCCTGCCTGGTTTGGCTGGGACAAACTGGTCAATTCAAACATCAGGTGGAAGGCCACAAGCCCGGAAGCCTCGAAAAACTTGGATCACTTTGCAAGTTGCCGCCTTGGCCACACTCAGACCAGAATGGACCTCGAACTCGTGAATCGACCAAGTTCCTGACGCAAGTCCTTTTGAAACTTCTGCCAGTTCACACCTGGAGCTGCCTCCTGAGGCAAAGTGAAATGAGGAGTGGAGGCTCTGCTAAGCTCGAAGCATTCCCAAAACCGCGACATGTACCTGACAAGCGCACTCGTTGACAGGGAGCGTGGCATCTAGATTCGCATCAATCTCCTCAGCCCGAATCTCATCACCTCTGGCCTCTACAATTCCCATTCAGAATCGATTTTGATGCAGGAAAGCTTCCCAGATTCCTCCAAATGGAGAAGGATTCGAATACCTCGGCAAGCAGCACAATTCTGAGCATTGATCACTGTCACTATATAGTCACTAGCAAATAACTGAATTTGTGCAAATCAGGTGGCAAATATGCAGAACTTAAGGCTCCAAAGGCCATATGTCCATGGCTTCGGGCAAATCTTCAACTTTCACACAAACTACACTAGTGTTGGACCATGTGCCAACTTTGTGAAATCAACCATGTACACCTGCACTAGTTGGCACGCTTGTCATGTCAGGTGCAATTGGCTACGGCCATTTGAAGGTACTTGGGATCCAATCTACTCGTCTACGGCTCTATGATAATGCCAATGGCTGCTGTTGAGGTCAGACATGGCACGTCACCTCCATGACATGGTACAAACAGCAGCCAACGATACAATGGGCACCTCATACACGTCCCATGCCGTGACACACTAGCGGAAGCGAGCCTTCCATTGTGGCCAAATCACCATTCTCGAGGTTGAGCCTGCTAAACTCGAAAACTAGCAGAAAGAAAATCGCTTGCTGGAGAAGACTGGTAAGCAGGATGACCCAATATGGCATCCGAATTTCAGGACGCAAGCGGAGTTTAAGCAACATATAATACAGAAGCGGGCTCAAGTGGCTACAAAAGTGGCTTCATGAAACATATTCAAAAATTTTCAATATTAATGAACAGAATCTGGAAAGGATGATAGGAGCTGGAATTTGAATAAGCAGCATGTGCATTTTTGAGCGCACACGTCTGTGCAATCTCTGACCGACCATGGCGACCATCAAACTCGTCAAGAAGCTTGCTTCAAGAACTTGCACCAACATGAAAGCCTTGCAATATTCCGAAAATAATTCACGCTCTCTCGGCTTCCGGCTTTGTCTGCGCTTTGGGGTCGTCCAAAGGTCGCAAGACAAAGGTGCGAGTCTAGGCAAGCGCTGGGTAAAATGCTGCAATGGTCAATGATTGAGAGACGGACTCACAGACTACAAGGTGACTTTGCTCCATGGACCGTTCTTTCTGAGGCAAGTTGAAGCACTGAACTGAGGACCACACTGCGCCCAAAGATAGCGAGATGATAAGCGCATCAGAATGCTTTGCATCGAAGCATGGCCTTGCATCCCACAAGGTTCCTTGGGATCCTTTCCCAGTTCACCGAAGGGCTTAGTAAATCGGATTCCCCAGTTTATTGGGTTCAGCACTCGTCATCTGCATGCCAACCAACTGAATCCGTTTCGTCCTGCGGGCATGGTGAACAAGACGCAGCTTTTTAAGCACACTGTCGTACTTCAATGTCCATCCTCGTATAGATTCGCGTTGCATGAGTTGGGACGATCTTGTACACCACATGCCCGGCAAACCTGCGAGTTGAGTTTGCCGCATGAGCATTAACCATTATTATATAACATGCATAGAGTGAGTACAGGACTTGAGCAAATCCAGGCAAATTCTATTCCAAGCTGAGCCTCAGACCTCATCGGTCAAATCAAGAAACCAGGGTGGCATAATCATGTTTGCCCATGACGTGCCGCTATAGCGGTACCTTGGATTCTAGTGACCAATCTCACAGCAAGATCGCAGTTGAGGGGAAGAAGTGAAGCTTCTTTCAGTCGTGCGTGCACAGTGAGATCGAGGATTCATGTTCAAAAGCTGTCCGGCCCACGTGGGCACATTGCGACTTCGTTTTGAAGTTTGTCCCTTGCTGTTGGTTCTCAACGTGTTGTTTTGAGACCAAGGTATGGTACAAGCATGATGTGCAAGTTTTGCACACACCCCTATTACATGGCTTCTGTATAATTACCATGCTGTAAAATGAAAGTGACAAGGGTTCAGGGATATCAACACTAAACAACCACCACAACCTACGGAGTGGGAGGTGTTCAGAAAGATACCCGATAGTTTGGAGAACCCTTTGGTGAGTTGGCACACGACGGGAGACCCCGGAAGGTTTAGTCCCCGTGGTGGGCAAAGGTGCCGGCGTGC